TAGCAAAGCCTTCCAAATACCAAGATGACCTTGCCCATAGTAGTTGATGGCTTCTAGTCCGCATCATACGGTTCACTAGCCAGCCTGTCAAGAAAATGGCCACAATCAATTCGTCGTCTCGTCACGTTATCCTTCTTGACAGCTTGGACAACAGAAAACAACAAGCGCAATAATGTTATTTTAGCCTGTCAAATTCGATCAGGCCTTAATGGTTTTACAACATTTCTATTTCTGTTAACTGTTTGTCTTTGTTTTATCCCAACGGTAAAGGAAATGGGGAGAGATAATTGAGATGAATTGATTCCAAAACAGTGGCAGCACCTTGCTGTTGGGGATATCAAATTTCCAATGGAGCTTTTATTTTTATTTTATTCAGATTTTTTGTCTTGGTTATAATGATTATATATTTATTCTTTTGCCAGTAATGAAGGGATCTCTGGCCTTTAAAGAACTGGCACATGTTCGTTTTCTTTCCCCGTGGCCATATTTGCTGACCAACAGGACAACATCGAGAAGAAGCGTATGCGCAGTGATGTAAGGAGACAAGACTAATTAGATAAGTCCTTGACACATTTGTGGACAATTAATGTCTTGGTGTCTCGTATTTCTAGTAAAATCCTCGTTCAAAAGAAACAATATCCCCAAGAAATATGAACCCTTTAAATTTGGACATTCGTAACAATATAGAATAACTGACCTCCAAGTTGATTATGAGATATTTGATCTGAAGCAATTGCTCTAATTTGAGGAGAGTATATAATTTCAATAAATATAGCTGAAAGGTGAAAGTACGAATCAAACACAGATGCTACAGATGAAGTAGGCGTTCAATCAAAACGACACTGAATATAAATGTACACGTATCTGGTATTATATGTCACAGAAATGTCAGGTGTAAGTCAAGCAATTATATGATGTAAGATACATGTACATCATATGGTAAACAATCAATCAACTTTGTAGGTGAACCACTTTGCGAAATCAGCCACTAATCAGTTGTTGTAGTGAAAGCACGACCCTCAGCGTGTTTTCCCAAGTATCAATAACCATATGTATGTTTCACAAACTTGTGACAGATAGTGTTTACTTATTGGGGGCCCATTTGTACAAGGCTTTGCAACTCGCTATGCAGAGTTGTGTTCCTTGGGTGTGTCAGGATCCGCTTGTTGTGGGTTCGGGACATGAAATATCACCATTGGTTTGTCAACACTGTACCCAACATGTGGGTTTCACAAAATGTTAACTTTGGATTTTCCTCTCACATGTAGCATGTGCGAAATGAAAAACTATTAAAAAGCGGTGTCAAACCTTATCCCCTCAATAAGTATTGAAATGATAACCGGTAATACACCTTCAACTCAATGATGATGATCAAATCTGTCTTCTGCCAAAGCAAGGATTTCCATATCGTTACATAGTGATTAATTTTATGAATGAGTGTCACTGAAAACTTAATTCTTGACAAAGATGTACATAAAAACACAACCGATAGATCAAGTTAAACGATATAATACGCTATAAAATAATAATAAGAAAAAACAAGCATACTTTTTTAAGTGAACCATCTTGAAGAGAGCCACTGGGGAATACCTACTCAATCGTACTTCAGCCACGTAACATCAAATACCATTCTTGTTAACAACAATTTCACATGATAATTAACTTACATTGTGCCTTCTCTAATTTTATGATACTTGATGCGGCGACTGTGCCTAGCATACTGCATAGCTTTAGCGGTAGGTTATTCGGGCAAGGTCAATGCTGATGTGAGTATTTGATCAATACATGGTCAATATTAATAAAATGGACGTACTGGAGCTTGCACACTTGACTAGTCTACGATACATTCTCCTTCCGAGACGATTAAGCAATTACGAAGATATTTCTATACTTAACTTTACCTTACACGTAGACATCCATCATTGATGGATAAAAATGGCAAACAGGTCAGCCGTATAATGTGTCTACGCAAACATCCATTATTGACGGCCAAAACGGGCAATATTGGCGTACAATATGTCCATTCCATGCATTAACATATGAAGTTATCTTTGACGCAAACGTCCCGTCTCTTTGCAGTTGAAATATGTTAATAAACATTAAGACACTGAGGTATATTTTGTCCAGATGACTGTAACGCGGCCCCTGTAACGCGCAAAGTGGCCGATCAAAATTCCCCATGTCCCATTCCTTTAGTTGTGACAGGAACACATATATGGAGGTAATCAATTGGATGCGACATTTGCGAGGCACCCAGAAGCAATTCCCGTACAAGATCCGCTTTGTAGCGACGCCGAGAGGATCTTTGGCACTGTGGGGTTACATTGGCCGTTATCCAGTCTTCCGGCGCTGTCGGTTAAGTTCGCCCACTCACATTTACAGTTCCGTTAGAAGCTCAGGCGCAATGTGTTTAGGGCATTTCACTGCAGACACACTAACGCAATGCTTTCGCGTTCAAACTAAAGGAAATAACCAATCGAGTTTCCATACTTTACAGGTTGTCGAAACATATATCATTCTGGAAAAAATACCACTCTGTCAAATCTAGTGGACATGCATTCCATCTCGTTTCCATAGATTGGCAGTTGCTAAAAGCGGCCTAAAGCTGTATGTGCCTTGAGAGCAAACCAATACTACTTCGAAGCTCGTTCAGGTATAAAACGCTGCTGATTTTAATCCACGTGAAATATCATTAATACGCTGACGTACTGCAAAATGACATTAGGGCCCATTTCGCGGAATACTCATTCAGTTATTCCCATACATCCGAATAAGCCGTTACGACAAGGTTGTATGTGTACAAATAACCAGATTGAACGATTGAATAGAGTATCTATAACCATCGAGGACCATAGGTGTGCATCATGAATCTATTTCTCACATCTGTGGCTACGCCACGCAATTCAACCTGGACAAACTGCCACTTCATCCCACAATGAACATGATATTACTATTCTCCTCATTTTTTGACCAGTCGTTTAAGGCGTTGCAATTCGCTGTGCAGAATTGCATCAGTAAGGCACGCCAGAAACCTATGATTGTGGGTTCGAATCCCAGTTCGCCCGGATAATGTTTGTAGGTATGTGAGCACCATACCTGTGCTCATGGGTTTTCCCTAAAGTGGTAAACGTCTGAGACCTGCATCACTTCAGGCTTTTCTCCCACATTAAGCTCACACGACATGATTTACCTGGAATACTGTTCAAAGCGGCGTTAAACACAACTCAGTCACTTACACTCTGTCCTCATTAAACCATCTGCATGACTATATTACAATAAAAAGTAATCGGTACCGGACACCTATCCGCCATGTTTGATGCTACCAATAAAGCTGCACGCGACAGCATCTTTATTTGACAAATAGGGCGATAAAGCTAAAATTAATCATAAAAAATGATCCCGCTTGCATTTGTATGGTTTAATATGATTAAACCTTGAAATTGAATATCAAGGCGATGCATAAACGACGAAAATTGGACATCAACGTCGAAAAAGTACTCGAAATAGAAGTTACGTAAGGCGTGCGACAACCAACCGTCGGGGCCACGTTTCAGCGAACACGTTGTATTTGGTATCTACTTTGGTAATTAAATTTCACATCTACTTACGAAAGCATTTAATTTAAGACGTTGAGGGGGGGGGGGGGGGGGGGGGGGGGGCAACTCCCCCTAACCCCCTGTTATTTTAGCGAGACGACAATAATTGCGTCTGAAAAACTTAGAAACCGTTACAAAGGAATGAGCTCGTGCATTCTTGCCAAATAATCATTTAGTTAATAATACAATCAATTAATATATTATTCAATAAAATCCGAGTTTCAAAATATTACCCTTGGCTTTACTTACATAATATCCTAATATCCTACATCAAATAGGTTACATGCATAACATAACATGCCTTAGGTGTATGGACTTGACACCCTTGTGGTGATATTTTGGGGTTGCTTTAGGATCTGATAAATTGTTACATTCACCTGCCTGTCTGGATAAGAAATAAGGGGATCAAGTATCGTTACATACATCTTTACCCACATGTTTTTAACCCAACGCTTACGTAATGCATTAAAGTGACACTAGTATGTGCTTGATAAATTGAATACTGAACCAGTGTTATTCCAAAATTCTCATTGGTGTGTTTAAGAACCAAGGTCAGCAAATGTTAAAAATATTTATAGTCAGTTATTGAAAAACGACATGAAAATGTGTTTTAATTTTGCAGGACAACTCTCTCTCTCTATCAGAAGGACCACATCCAGTGCATTATATTCTACGTTTAGCTCTATACAACATTTGAATTGGGATGATGGAAAACATTGATCCGCTGTCAGACCAATTAATGAAGAACATCATAGCTCCGGCTCTCCATTTCCACACAAGCTGCCTTTAAAGTTCATCATTGGATTGGAACATTGATATGGCTATTCCACCTGGACACTTTCTGCAATGCATCCTCTTCAGAGATTTTCTTGTTACTGAAGAGATGTGTAACTCAGTGTCATCAGCTGTTCACAACTTCCCCAATTGTTGAGACCTTTCATCTTCAATTATTTCTTATGAAAGTACTACTGACTCTCAAACAAAAATTGCAGAGGATGAATTACAGACTAAATTAGCCCCATTTACCCTTTGATTAAAACGGTTTAAGATAAAAATATAGATTTCCGTTTTGAAGATAAGGTTAAAAAGCCGAATTTTGAGAATGTTCTTTTCGTAAACGACATAATACAGGAAATCGCCATATTATCAATCCCTACTTTGTTTCAAATGTTGACGTTGTGATAATAATAGATTATCATCACAAATAGTGTTTGGTAAACAAATGTAAGCATGCAGCTGTCGTCTATTTAGATTATATACGCGATACTACGATACCTTATGCTATATACTTCCACCCAACACAACACATGTATATGAGCTAAATTTAAATGAGACACGTTTGGACATTTGACGAGTTGCCATGTGACATGTGATAAGAAAAGTATATGTAAAGCAACTTCTTACCTTTCGACGCTGATGAGTATTAAGTTGAGCGTTGTTGCGGTTGCTGAAACCATTTCAATAAAGCCAGAAAACTTGCAAAGAAAAGTACTTAGTTCCCAGTGACTGAGGAAAAACCTTATTATTTCATAGGGTAAACATATCAAGAGAAATAGTACGTCCGCCCAAGCCATACTAAGAAGTCCCGGGAATGTTACACACTGGCGGGGCCTACCGCAACACAGAACACAGATGACCAAAGCATTCCCTACCACGCCTAGAAGAAATATGACAGAGTACACCACAACCATAGGAATGAAATGAGGTTCGCGGACCCATGGTTTTCGTAACTTCTCTAAATCTCCTTCATAAAGAAATGCCAGATCAACTTCGGGTAATCCGCTGGGAGTAGTCGGACCACTGTCCATTATAGTCATGATGCTAGTGACCGAGCCGGCCAGCGCACCGTGATCTGTGACGAAGTTTAGCCGAGTTTAGTTGCTGTAGAGACCGGCTCGTGCCGTACCTCCCTGCGCCGTGACAGCGGTTTCTGCCGTTGACCAGTGACAGCGCGCAGACCTCCGAGAAGACAGACTATTGACAGCCCGAGCGATGTATTTACCGATCATCACCAAGCATGGCATCCTACTACAGCTGCAATAAGACACTGTGGCTATTAGGCTCAAATGATTCCAGTGTAGAGGCGTAGCGAATGGCAATGAAATAAACATCAATTTTTATCGGATGTCCATCACGCCCCAGCAGATTCATAATGGAAGAACGGGAACTAGTTGACAGGTAAAAGGGAAGTTTTTACATAGGTGCAAGAGTGTCAGCAGTCAGCTATTGAAGGACGGCATTAATACATATTCGGTGATGATTTGTCACTCTGTATCGTAATCCTTCACATGACAGACATGGACGGTGGTTCTTTAGAACGAGTATCTATACGCTGAGATCAACACCTAATGGCTTCAAATTGAACGATATCAGTCTGTAGGGTTATTTATTGGCTGTTCAATACCACCTCCTTTGAAGGTCCCCGGAACCTCTTAAAATTTGTAATAATGTTAAAGGCTACCGTCTCTCGTTCCACGGGAGTTTGTTGTTTAAGTGAAGATATTAACGATAGGCTCAATAAACTGTTGATCAAAATGGATTGCCATGTGCGAAGAGTGTTACACCATGTGGACAAAACTTCAATACATTTTACGACAGTCGCCGAATAATCTATTATTTTTACAGCATATTGAATGAGATATCATATGTTATCAAAAACGTATTCTTGGTTGATTATTAATCTTCGATGAATTTCGAGTTGGTGTAAATCATACCTCCCGACAGTGACAGAATGCTTCACAACTGCGTAAGAAATCAGAAAATATGATCACTCATTGTAACGTTATTATTCAGCTTGAGACAATTTAAAATTAATTCCTTTTATCAAAGGAAACTATAATCTGTATCGTTCTCACAGTACATGTAAATGTTCGTATACAAAGGAAACATGCATCCACCACCTTCATTCACAACAGAAAAAACAAGGTTTTTACAATCCCTCACATACCCACGTGGTTATGTGGGATGGTAAACATTTTTTACAACAGTGAATGAGCTGTTTGTAACCTGTCCAATACAATACTCTTCCTTTTAATAATTTCAGTGGAATTCCCTTGTACCGAAATAATCCAATTTAGATACACTGATGGGGAACTGGTCGATATCAACCTATCGCTTTTTCAGAGTTGTTTGAATTATGTTGGTTAACAGTCGAGTGAGTGAGTGAGTATGGTTTTACGCCGATTTTAATCGCAATATCACGGCGGGGGACACCAGAAATGGGCTTCATACATTGTACCTATGTCGGGAATCGTACCCGGGTCTTCGGCGTGACGAGTGAACGCTTTAACCACTAGGCTACCCGACCGCTCGGTCAACAGTTGGAGTAACGGACAGTGAAATTGGTTTACATACCAACATAACGTTTTGTAGTTTTGGTACATAACGGAATTATAAAAAAATATATACATATTTGCATTATCCGAAGAATGTTAGCATTACTTGTAGGACAAAAGTAGTATGTATTTATTATGTATGATGTATCCATAGCCAAGTAAAACATACAATGATATGATTCATGTTACCTCCAATTTGGATTATATTAAATACAAGGTGGTGAGGTGAAATGGGGTTTAACGTCGCGTTAACGTGCATGCAAGTGGGTGTGTGCTTGTACTTAAAGCGGCAACAACAGGTGAAGTATCACCATGGCTGGGATAAGCAATGTTGAGTTCATTGATAGGGTCACTTACTCCAAGGCCAAATGGAGAAAGACCCAAGACCTTGGCCTAGCTACAAGGAAGGTCCCCAGCTGCCGAGTTGGATAGGGATCCAGTTGGACAATTAATAAAGCTTGGTTGATCAATAATATGAAATTATGAGCAATAATATGACTCTGTCATGTGTGTGTGTGTGTGTGTGTGTGTAATTCTTATTGAACAGGTGAGGTGGTGAAATGGGGTTTAACGTCGCGTCCAAGATTATTGCACTTATATAGCGACGTGCATGTACGTGTGTGTGTTTGTGTGGCTGCTTGTACTATTCCGGACTGATGCCGATTTATAGTGCTAGCTCACTGAGATACCCTGCCGCAGTTTAACATGAATACCCCACTCAGACACAATATACTGACTCTGTGCCGATCAGTCCTCTCTGGACGGACGCTCTACCACTAGACCACTGGTCTTTTAAAATACAAAACTAAGTTTTGACTTTTGGAATGGCGTTATCTATGCTGGCAATAGTGTTATGACAATCTGCAAAATAATGCACGAAACCCATTAAACAACACTCTATGTATCTACTATCTCACATTGTATAGGGGGCGGTGGGGTAGCCAATCGGTTAAAGCGTTCGCTCCTCACACTGAAGACCTGGGCTCGATTCCCAACATGGGTCAATGTGAAGCCCATTCCTGGTGTCCCTCGCAGTAATATTGCTGGAATATTGCTAAAAGCGACATTAAACAATACTCACTCACATTGTATGGTACATACCAATCTAGTAGTGAATGCCCTAATTACACAGTAAAAATGTCTCAGCGTCGCACTATTCACATCGCCTATACTAACATGAGGGAGGCCAACCTGTCGAGCTCAATTCTCCTTTAAAGAGACTATGGTCTGTTGCGCAGAGACGTTGTAATCAGTGCTGGTGTACGGATAGCGCATGAAAACAACATTCGTAGCGGGTAATTCGACCACCGACTATTCTCCTCATTGTGATCTGGCAATTAATGGCTTAGCTTTTTGCGAGATCGATTATATGAAAAGATATGATGTAAATCTTAAAAACATGTTCATGATAGCCTAACCATCAATAGCATCAAGTTAGAAATATCTGCATTAACAATTTAGCAAGCTTGGTTCAGTGTAGGCGAGAGACAAGAGGCGATCGTCTAATCGAATCATGCCATGTTGCGTGGCTATGTAATTTCATGCGAGTCAGCAGTTCTTTATGTTATGAAATTGTTAGGACATGGGATTTGATCGGTTGACATAATGAAGGCGACATTTTCAACACGAAGTTCAAGGCCGGGCGTAGACTGCGGATGTTGTACTGACCCTTCGACATAAAGTGGTGTTATTAGTGATGCTCTGAACCGATATTTTGTCACGTCGCTTGCATTACTAGTGTGTAAATATAGTTTTACGTCGCTTTTAGTAATACTAGTATTCAAGCATTATCATGACGGGGGACAGCAGAAATGGGGTTCAGACATTATAACCATGTGGGGAATACAGGCCTTAGGCGAAACGAGCGAACGCTTCAACCACTAGGCTTCCCACTTGTATTGCTAAAATATAAACGAGTCAGTATACTTTCTCCATTTCAAATGTATTTGTTAGTCCTGCGACAGATTTACTGCAAGACATATTCAACATAAAAAAACATGTGTCAAACGCGTTCATTGAAGCAGGATTGTTTATTGTGCCACTGCATCTTGGTGGTTCGTGAAAATGTGAAAATCCGTGTTTTGGGGCAGAGCAGGCGTTGTGTACAACTACACAGTGCTACCGACGCCCCCATTCAAAAAAAATAAATTGTCCAAGAAAATGTTTGATCTTTTGCTTCCGACTGTTGAAAAAGAAAGAAATTGCCCGCCACCAAAATTACATTGTGTCAAGTATGGTTCCTGAAACCAAAATTCAGGCTCGTAGTTTTAAATATAAAAATATCTGGCTTAGTAGTGAGTGAGTTGGGTTTAACGCCGCTTTTAACAGTATTACAGTTATATCACGGCGTGTCAGCTTAATGTGGGAGGAAAGCCCGAAGTGATGCAGGTCTCAGACGTTTACCACTTCGGTGAAACCCACGAGCACGGGTATGGTGCTGACAAACCTAGAAACATAATCGGGGCGAACCGGGATTCGAAGCCACAATCATAGGTTTCTGACGTGCCCAAGGGACGCAACTCTGCACAGCGAATCGCGGCGCCTTAGACTACTGGGCCACTCGTGCCCCCTCTGGTTTTGTAACTGGAAGGTCCAAGAGTCTAACCCCGGTCGCGTCATTCCAAAGACGTTAAAGAAGGTACTTGTTGTTACCCCGCCAGGCGCTCGGCATTAAAAGGCTTAAACAAGGACTGGTCGGCTCGAAGTCTATATACTGTGTCTGAGTGGGGTATTCGTGTTAAACTGCCACATGGTATCTCAGAGGGCTGGCACTAAAAGTCGGCATTAGTCCGGACTAGTACAAGCAGACAGACAGACAGACAGACAGACGCACGCACGCACGCACGCACGCACGCACGTACGCACGCACGCACGCACACACACACACACACGCGCGCGTCGCATGCACGTTGCATAACACCCCATTTCACCTCACAACAACACGGAGGAGAAGTAAAATATATAATTATCCCACTCATTAGCTGCTTGATGTGCATACATTTTGAGCTATCAGACAAAGTGTTGTTTGAACTGCGCTAATACCGCCAGTGTACGTTAGTCTAGCCCCCTTCAAAGGTATATTCATTTACCCCTTTCTGAAATTTTGTTTTGTTTGAATAACATTATTCACAATCAAGTTCTCCGTTCGTGTCGGAGTTTTGATACAGAGGAATGAATATATTGATTGGCAACGACAAAAACATTTAAAGCGATTTAAATTTAAAAGTCTGTGTCGCAGCTGCCTGTTCACATACGCACACAATGCCTGTTTGTTGTGAGGAGCTTACCTAACATCTTACGGTACAATCATTCACCCTGGAACTGTCGTTGGCATTATCATCCTACAGATCGATGTCACGAACTAGTTCTGACGATACATAATAGATGCTTGAGATGATACGAAAGCACTTCAGAACCAAAGTACGGTCATTGCGTCCATAGTCAGTGGTACGAACTGAACTGAGGATAATTTTCTTTAGAGGAACATTATCTCGTTTGGGATCAGTGCAACGTATGATATGATTGGTTTGCACAAGTGGAGCCGGGGGTTTGGATCCTTAACTTAGCGATAATCCAACAACTATGACATCAAAATAAAATGTTCGTAATTGAAAGCACAGTCATTACATTTCATCAACATCCACGTAACAGCCATAAAGAAACGTTTCTCATGACGTGTAGATAATTATAAGTCTTTTTAGAACGATATCGTAAAATAACTGATGACAGATATTCAAAAATATTCT